GCAGCACTCCCTGAGCGCTGACCCTCTGACAGTGCAGCACTCCCTGAACGCTGACCTTCCAACAGTGTGGCGCTCCGTCACCACAAGAACTGCCTGCCCTGACCTAGGTTAGGTCAGAGACTGTGGAGTGGGATTTGAATCCACAACCTCCTGACTCAGCAGGGAGACTGCTACTGAGCGACCCACAGCTGCTGCTTATATAAGGACAATCATGTGCTGCTCAACTGTAATATCCCAATCCAGCACAACAAAACCCTGACTGTTTTCCTTCTGAAACCAGGATGATTTTGGTTCTGCAGCTAATTGTACACAGCCTTCCTCATCTTAAACCTTGAAAGGATTGTACGTTCTGCCAATGGGAGATCGAATACAAGCGAAAAGTTTGCCTTTGGGTTAATGGGAGTGCAGCAGCTTGTGACTGTGACTGACAAACCGAACTGGTGACATAGGATTTATTTGTTCTGTCTCTGGTGGACTGGAGCATGGAGCGAAGTGACTTTTCCAAACGCTGCATTGGGTTTCCTAACGCAGACTGTTCCGCCAATCCTTGAGCTGCATTTGGTTTGACAGGCAAGAGCCCTCGCCCAGTTGCCCACCCTGGACAGGCTGATGCTTGCTTCAGTGTTAGTTAGTTCTCAGCGATTAACTGATCAGCCTCGCTCAGCCGTCAGAGGTTTCCGAGTGTCTACGTCACTTTGGGATCGGCTCTGTGGACACCATCGGTAAGTTTGTATTTCACTTTCCCCCAGCTGTTTTTCACCTCTTCGAATTCTAACACTTCTCTGCCACCGTCTGTCTCCCAGGTTTCAAATTAGCACTGGATGGACTCCTGAGGAGGACGAAGGCTGAGGAAGAAAACAACAGGGGAGGGGTGGGGTGAGTGGGGATTCATTGGATCCTAACGGTTTGATGGGCTGAATGGCCTGCACTGGCTTGGCATTCATTGCAGCCTCATATCTCAGCCCCACCTGCTGCTGCAACACTCCATGTTCGCGTTATCACCGGCTCGTGTATTCCTTTTCACTCCCGGCTGGTCGTGTCTCCTTGCTCCTTCTGCAACCCGGAGGTCATTCAGAATTCTGCTGCACACATCTTCACTTGTTCCAGACCCTGTTTCCCTATTAACCCCCTCCCCCAACTGATCGTTGATCATTGCTGGCTTCCAGTCAGCCAGTTTCATGATTTTAAACTTTTCATACACCTACGTTCTACCAGCCCCTCCCTATCTCTGTCACTTCATCCAGCCCCCTACACCCCCTCACTATCTCTGTCACCTCCTCCAGCCCACTACACCCCCTCCCTATCTCTCTCACCTCCTCCAGCCCCCGACAACCCCTCCCTATCTCTGTCACCTCCTTCAGCCCCCTACACCCGCTCCCTATCTCTGACACCTCCTCATGCCCCCTACACCCCCTCCCTATCTCTCTCACCTCCTACACCCCCTCCCTATATCTCTCACCTCCTCCAGCCCCCTACACCCCTTCCCTATCTCCCACCTCCTCCAACCTCCGTACACCCGCCCCCGTCACCTCCTCCAGCCCCTACAGTCCCTTCCTATCTCAGTTAGCTCCTCCAGTGCCTAAATCCCCTCCTTATCTCTGTCACTTCCTCCGGCCCTTACACCCCCTCCCTATCTCTGTCTCTACTCAAGCCCCTGCACCTCTCCCTTTCTGTAACTTTTGCAACCCCTCTCCCTCCCTACCTCTATCACCTCCTCCAGCCCCTACCCCTCTCCTATCTCTGTCACCTCCTCCAGCCCCCACACCCCCTATCTCTGTCACCTCCTCCAGCCCCTACACCCCATCCTATCTCTGTAACTTCTTCCAGCCCCTACACCCCTCCTATCTGTATTCTCCTCCAGCCCCTACATTCCTCACTATCTCTAACTACACCCCTTCCTTTCTCTGTAAACTGTCCAGCCCCTACTTACTCCGTATCTCTATCACCTCCTCCACATGAGCAAGAATTTCTCTTCTCCGAGAGGAGTGAATCTGCTGAATTTTTCCGCAAAAGTCATTAAGTACATTTAAGGCAGGGATAGGTAGATTTTTAATCAGGAAGGGAATCGAGTGTTTGGGGAGAAAAGGCAGGAAAGTGGGATTTGAGGATGATCTCATTCATTGGTGGAGCAGACTGGAGGGGCTGAACAGCCTACATCATGGGGTCTGCCCTCTGAAGTGGGCAAGTTCCATCACAACAACACAGCGAGCAGCTCGTGCCTTCTTCCTGAGGGGCAAGCGATGATTTGGAGTGGCGGAAGGCAGCCGTGCACAGTTCCCTCTGATGTGGAAGACAAGTTTGTTTAACAATGCAGCCACTGGGTTTGTCTCTAACGGAGTCTTCTGCTTACAGCCCTGCGTTTCTGCAATGATCATGAGTAGACCGTCCAACAGAGCTGCTCAGGTATGTCTGTACCCTTCCACCTCACCATGACCTCCCCAAATGGGTTCAAGGCCCACACTCTATAAACACATTAGGAGTAGAATGAATGCATTAAGTGTGGAGTGCCAGGAGGAAAAGTTGATTAAATAATACCTGAGGAAGGAAGCAATTGAAGAATAAATTGATGGGGCGATGTGGGAGGAGAGTGATGTAGAGCCAAAACACGAGGTTCAGTTCTGGTGAGATGTAAGAAAGAGGTGCTTTGGTCTATTGTGTCTGTGCCAGTCTATCTCTACTAATTCCATTTTCCAGCACTTGCCCCATACTCTTGTACTCTATGGTGTTTCAAGTGGTCACCTTAATACTTCTTAAATTTTCCAGCTCCTAGCATCCTTTCAGGCAATGAGTTCCAGTTACCTGCCACCCTCCCCTGCCCTCTGGATGAATTTTTTTTCTTCAAATCCCCTCTATACCTCCCTCTGCTTATGTTGAAACTGGGGCCCCTGGTTATTGACTTCTGTACGTCGGGGTGAAATGTTTTTTCCCTATCTACACTACGCCCCTCAGAATGTTGCACACCTCAACCACATCCTTCCATGGTAAATGGTGACATGTGAATTTTAAAAAAAAACTGGAAGAAAAAACTAATCTGTAGGGCCCTGTTGTGGCACAGTGGTATTGTCCCTACTCCTGAGCTGAGAGGCTCAGGTCCAAGTCCCACCTGATCCAGAAGTGTATAATAACATCTCTGAACAGGTTGATTAGAAAAATAGGTTAAAAAAACTAATCTGTAGGACCCTCTTGTGGCTCAGTGTTACCTCTGGGCCAGGAGGCCTGCATTCAAGTCCCACTTGCTCCAGGGGTGTGTAATAACATCACTGAACAGGTTGTTTGGAAAATATGAAAAGCGAATTTAATGGCCACCATGTAAGCACTGTTGAATATCATTAAAACCCCATCTGGTTCACTAATGTCCTTTAGGTAAGGAAATCTGTCATCCTTACCTGGTCTGGCCCACACGTGACTCCAGACCCACAGAAAAGTGGGTAACCCCAAACCGCCCTCCAGGAAATTAGGGATGGCCAATAAATGTTGGCCCAATCAGCTTCGCCCACATCCCACGAACCAATAAAAGATTTGACTGCGTGTGGCATCGAGGGGACTGAGCAAAGCAGGAGCCAATAGGAAACAGAGGGTAAAATCTACACTGATTGGAGCTATACCTGACAAGAAAGAGGATGGCTGTGGTTGTTGGAGGTCAGCCATCCCAGCTCCAGTGATGTCACCATCACTGAATTCCCCCACTATCGACATCCTGGGGGTTACCGCTAACCAGAAACTGAACCAAACCTGCCACGTCAACATGATGCAGTAGAATTAGATTCATTTATGAGGTCAAGTCAGCCTGCACATGAAGGAATGCAATAAAAATAGACACCCTGTCCTGAAGATCAAACTTTGTCAACTCTAACAAAAAGTAAATGTCTCTCGACACTGTCCCCCCATCAAACACTCCCAGGACAGGGACAGCACGGACTTAGATACGGAGTAAAGCTCTCTCTACACTGTCCACCCCATCAAACACTCCCAGGACAGGGACAGCACAGAGTTAGATACAGAGTAAAGCTCTCTCTACACTGTTCCCCCATCAAACACTCCCAGGACAGGGATAGCACGGGGTTAGATACAGAGTAAAGCTCCCTCTATGCTGTCTCCCTTCCCCCCCCCACCACCCCAATCAAACACTCCCAGGACAGGGACAGCACAGGATTAGGTACAGACTAAAGCTTCCTCTACACCGTCATCCACCACCCCTCCCCCATCAAACACTTCCAGGACAGGGACAGCACAGGATTAGATACAGAGTAAAGCTACCTCTACACTGCTTCCCCTATCAAACACTCCCAGGACAGGGACAGCACAGGGTTAGATGTACAGTAAAGCTTTCTCTACACTGCCCCCACGCCGCCCCCATCAAACACTCCCAGGACAGGGTCAGCACAAGGTTAGATACAGAGTAAAGCTCTCTTCACACCACTCCCTCCACTTTAGTTGGGACTGATAGCTAGAAAAGAGCCACGCACAGAACAAGCTCCTGCTCGTCTTTATATAGGAGGCATGAAAGGTTTTGGAGGATGGTGATAGCAGCTACAGTGCCGCCATTGGTAAAAGGGTGTAATTACAGCGTGACATGTTTACATAGGAAATCTCTATTGACAGTAAAATACCACAACAACAACTCACAGCTTGCAGAGAGAAGGTTGGATTTCCTCATATCCGGGTGTTACTGATTGCTGTTTGGCTTTTCCTTGCCCCTCATCCTTTCAGCCTAACATCATCTGGAGGGTTGGGATGCTTCCTCTGATGAACTCGACCTCCCAGGTTCTGCTGATGACCTACTCTGATGTCAAGAGGACCAACTGGCTGACCTCTACACTCTGCAATGCATTGGAGACCAGTGCGAGGATGGCAACGGGACTGGCAGTAAGGAGAGCCAAGCCGATCCTAAACATTTTTGAGTACCAATGTGAGTGCCAGTGCATGGAACTGGGGTTTGAATGGCGTCCTCAAATATTGCCAATCCCTCAGCGTCTCTGCCTCGAGGGGATGGAGCTAAGATCAGTGGGTCACTGCTGAGGGAGCGGGCACTGTCGAAGCATCAGCACTGAGACAGAGGGCACAGTCGGAGGGTCAGCATTGGGGGAGTGGGCACTGTCGGAGGGTCACTGCTAAGGGAGTGGGCACTGTCAGAGGGTCAGCATTGGGGGAGCGGCCACTGTCGGAGGGTCACTGCTGAGGGAGCAGACACTGTCGGAGGGTCAGTGCTGAGGTAGCAATGCATTGTCGAAGGGTCAGTGCTGAGGGAGCACCATACTGTCCAAGGGTCAGTGCTGAGGGAGCAGTCACTGTTGGAGGGTCAGCGCTGAGGGAGCAGGCACTGTCGGAGGGTCAGTGCAGAGGGAATGGGCATTGTCGGAGGGTCAAGTCTGAGGGAATGTCACACCGTCATAGGATCAGTACTGAGGGAGTGAGCACTGTCAGAGGGACAGTATCCCATTGTTAGCCTCTGTGCAACATTCTCTCAGTCCTGACGCTCAAACAGTATAGTGTTCCCTCAGCACTGACCCTCCAACGGTGTGGCGCTCTGTCAGCACAGATAGTGGGCCTGGTTTTTTTGCTTTAATCTCCACCTTGGAAATGGAACTCATCGTATCCTGCCTCAGAGGGAGAGCGCTAACACTGAAACACAGCTGATGCCTTGAATACTTGTGTCCCCCTGTGCACCTCGCCCTCCTTTCGTAACTGTATAAATTTCTTAAGTCTGTGTCTCGCTCTGTGTCAGGCAACAGTTAATAGCATTAACCCAGCTTCAATTCACAAAGGCAGTAAACAAACTGAGCCTTTAAACTGTGCTGAGATACAATCACCTCCATTGAGACAAACAATCATATGTAATGACAGGCTGTGACTGGAAGCTTTTCACTACCTCAAAGTGCCTTAAAACAGCTCATTAATCCGTCTCACTCTTTCACACACGATTACAGAACAGTACGTTCGAGTCATCTCGAAGTGTATCCAGTAATTTAGGATCTGGATGAAAGAAGGATTTCAGACAGCAGTGTGGTGTGTTTGCAGAACAAAATATTGAGCACCCTGTGTGCCTCATGGAAACTCGGTCCTTCAAGCCTGCTTTGCCATTTGATATGTACATTTCATCAAATTACTCTTGCGTGCGTCTGAATTAATCCTTCATTGTTCTTTAATTCCCTTACTGATTAAAAATTTGTCTCAGCCTTGAGTACCCTTAATGACCCAGTCTCGACAGCCCTCTGCGGTAAACAATTCTACAGATTCACTCCCCCCTGAGATAAGAACTTCCTCCTCATCTCGGTCTTCAATGGGCGACCCCTTATTCTGAGATTATGCCCCTCTGGTCCTAGACTTTCTCACAAACGACTCAATGACTATGAATTGGAAATCACCTCTCCACATCTCCCCTGGCAAGTCATCTAAGAATCTTGTACATTTCAATCAGGTCTCCTCTCATTCTTCTAAACTCCAATGAGTACAGGCCCATCCTACTCGACCTTTCCTCCTCAAACAGTCCTTCCATTCCCGGGGTCAGCTGAGCAAACCTTCTCTGGACTGCCCTCCAGTCTATCTTTCCTTAGATAAGGGGCCCCAAAACCTTTCACAGTATTCCAGCTATCATCTGACTAATGCCTTGTATAATTCTAGCAAAACCTCCCCATTTTTGTTCTCTACTCCCTTCAAAATAAAAAGGGGCAACAGTCCATTTATCTTCCCTACTACCTGCTGGACTAGGATGTGATTTATGGACAAGGACTCCCAAATCCCTCACTTCTGTGGCTTTCTGCAGTCTTTCTTCATTTAATGAATGTTTGGCTCCTCTGTTCTTCCTGCCAAAGACCATCACCGCTCATTTTTCCACATTATATAGGCAGTAGTGACTCAGTGGTTAGCACTGCTGCCTCACAGCACCAGGGGCCTGGGTTTGATTCCACTCTCGATCGAATGACTGTGTGGAGTTTGCATGTTCTCCCCGTATCTGCGTGGGTTTCCTCCCAAGTCCAAAGATGTGCAGGCTATGGTGGATTGGCCATGCTAAATTGCCCATAGTGTTCAGCGATGTGTAGATCAGGTGGGTTCTAGAGGGATGGGTCTGGATGGGATGTTGTGAGAGTTGGTGTGGACTTGTTGGGCCAAATGGCCTGTTTCCACACTGTAGGGATTCTAAGTCTAAGCTCCAATGGCGTAAGTTTAAGGTGAGAGGAGAAAGATTTAAAATGGGACCTGAGGGGCAACTTCTTCACACAGAGGATGGCTCGTATGTGGAATGAATTGCGAGAGGAAGTGGTAGATGCAGGTACAGTTCCAACGTTTAAAAGACATTTGAATAAATACACGAATAGGAAAGGTTCAGAGGGATAGAAGCCAAATGCAGGCAAATGGGACAATTTAGTTTGAGATAATTGGTTGGCATGGACGAGTTGGACCGAAGGGTCTGTTTCCGTGCTGTGTGACTCTATGTACCTATGACTGGATTGCTAAGCTCAGCTCTGGTCCTCTTTGGCAAGTAAGAGAGACAGAGGTGGAGAGTGTGCATCAAAGAAATGCTATTGATCAGGAAGAACAGCTCAGCACCAAACCCAACCAAAGGAGGCATCTGTCTTGCATTGAAGATAGATGCTGTCTCCTTTCGTTGTTCGGGCTTAAGAGCAGAGAAAATTCATCCCAGCCATAAAACTGCTGGAGGCTGCAGAGCCACTAAGTGGGTGGAACATCTAGGTCACTGGACTTGGCCAGTCAGCCCCTCCAGTCTGTTCAATGGTGGGCCTGTATCTTAACACGGTGTAAAACACCTAGACATCCGCGCCTGAACCCAACAAGATCATCTATTTCTCTGTGCCTTACGATGCCCTGTTGACACCCCACCACTTCCCAACTCCTCCCCAACTAATTTTTGAGCCCCACTCCCTTGTAATAGATTCAAGGTCTGCTGTTGGATGAAGAGCAAAATTTTGAGTTGCGGGGTTGGGGCCGAGGTGAACGGGTCTCCCCACGGTCCTGGGGAGTCAACATTTCTCCCTTGGGCAACAGCTCAAAAAAGAACCCAGATGATCTGTGCGTGGGATCTTGCTGTGCGTGTGGATTGGCCACTGAGTTTGCCTGGGTGTCTCGAAACCTTTGATGAGATGGCCCATTAATCCACTCCGGAAATCTCTCCTGAGCTTCGGGGCAAAAGTGGGCCATTCAGCCCCTTCGAGCCTGCTCCACCATTCAATACCGTCACAGCTGATCATCCAGATCAGTCCCCTGTTCCCCGCTTTCTCCCCTTTAGAATTATATCCAAACCCTTCTTGAAAACATTCAATGTTTCGGCCCCGATCGCTTTCTGTGGCAGAGAATTCCACAGGCTCCCCACTCTCTGGGGTGAAGACTTTTCTCCTCATCCCAGTCCGATCCCATCTCCCTAAGACCATAAGCCCCCTGATTCTAGGCTCCCCCTTGTCATTGGGAACGCCCTTCCTACCTTTACCCCTGAGCAGTCCTGTTAGAATTTTGTAGGTTTCTATGAGATCCCCCATCATTCTTCTAACGTTCCAGTGATAACAGTCCTAAGTAATCCAGTCTGTCTTCATACACAATTCCTGTCTATCCAGGAATCAGTCTGGTAAACCGCTGCACCCCCTCCATAGCCATAAATATATTTCTCAACTTGACCTCCACAGCTTTCTGTGGTTGTAAATTCCACAGGCTGACCATTCTCTGGGTGAGGACATTTCTCTGGATCTCAGGCAGGATTCTTGAGGGCCTTAGTTCTGAGGAAGGGCCACCAGACCCGAAACGTTAACTCTGTTTTTTCCTTTACAGATGCTACCAGACCTGCTGAGCTTTTCCAGCAATTTCTGTTTTTGTTCCTGATTTACAGCATCCGCAGTTCTTTTGCATTTTCTTAAGGGGCTTGGCAGGATCAATGCTGAAAGGATGTTCCCCGCATTCGGAGATTCTAGGACCTGAGGGCATTGTCTCAGAATTAAGGGGCACCGGTTTAAGACTGAGTGGAGGAGGGAATTTCTTCTGAGGGTTGACAGTCTTTGGAACTCCTTGCTACGGGCAGGCGATGGCCTAGTGGTATTATCTCTGAACAGTTAATCCAGCAATGTTCTGGGGACCTGGGTTCAAATCCTGACATGGCAGGTGAATTCAATGGAAAAAAGAAATATCTCATCCAATGATGACCATGGATCCATTGTTGATTGTTGGGGAAAACCCATCTGATTCACTAATGCCCTTTAGGGAAGAAAACTGCCATTGTAACCTGGTCTGGCCTACATGTGACTTCAGGCCCATCATTGATGTTTAGCTCTGGGCAATAGATGCTGATCTAGTATGAATTAAAATAGTCCTTTATTTTTCTTAATTCATGCATGCAATGAAGGTGTTGATGGCCAGGCAACATTTATTGCCCATCCCTATTTACCCAGAGGGCAGTTAAGAGTCAACCACATTGCTGTGGGTCTGGAGTCATACATAGGCCCAGACCAGGTAAGGATGGCAGTTTCATTCCCTAAAGGGCATCAGTGAACCAGATGGGTTTTTCCCCAACAATCAACGCATGGTCATCATTAAACTCTTAACTCCAGATGTTTGTTGAATTGTTAAATTCCATCATCTGCCGTGGTGGGATTTGAACCCGGGTCCCTGGAATTTATCTGAGTCTCTGGATTGACAGTCTAGTGACAATACCACTAGGCCATCACCTCACCCCCTTACATATGTTTAAGGCTGAGGTAGATAGATTCTTGATCGTGTAGAGGTGTCAAGGGTATGGGGGGAAAGGACAGTCAAGTGGATTGGAGGAATGTCAGATCAGCCATGATCCATCCCAGTGAATTTGCATGGCACCCTTTCCTGGGGCCTCCTCTCCCTCCTGAAATCTGGCACCCTAACTTAGGAAAGCGGGTAGGCTTATTTTAATGCCCGCTACTGACTGCTTGCTCCATCCTCCTAGTTGCCTCGGCCAACACCTTCGCCTCCAAAAGACTGGACAAGTTGGAAGAAGAGTTCCCAATCCTGCAGCTGTCGATAGATGAGGTACGTGGAGCAAGACCCTTCCTTAAATTTCCATTGCAAACGTGTCCTTTTGCCCAATTTCCTCCCTCCAGCTGGTGTAGATGCCCTCTTACAGAGAAGGGTACGCTTGGCATTCCTCATCCCCGGGCGCATCCAGCACTGGGACCATTGGATGACTTACAAGAGAAGGACCCTGCCTGCTTTCCCATCCCATTCCCCCCTTCCCTGGTGCCAGGGCACTGAGGCCATTCGCACCACGATCTGCTATCTGGATGGCACGGGTTGGCACCAGGTCCAAAGCGTCACCAGTACGCCCACCTCCGTTTGAGGATGGGGTGTGCCATTAGGACTGGATCCATCAGAAAACTCATCTACCCAAGTGGGTAGACTCTTATCCAGCTGGAATGGCTCTCATCCAGTGGGAATTACTTTAGTCCAGTGAAAAGGACTCTCATCCACTGGGAAAGACTGTCATCCAGTGGGAATGCCTCTCATCCAATGGGAAAGACTGTAATTAGCGGGAATGACCCTCATCAACTGGGAAGGACTGTAATCCAGTGGGAATAACTCTCATCCAATGGGAAAAACTGTAATCCCATGTGACTGGTTCTCATCCAATGTGAATGACTTTAATCTAGTGGGAATGACTCTCAAAAATTGGAATGACTCTCATCCAATGAGAAAGACAGTGATCCAGTGGGAATAACGCACATCCACTGGGAAAGGCTGTAATCTGGTGGGAATGACTCCAATCCAATGGGAAAGACTGTATTCCAGTGAGAATAACTCTAACCTAGTGGAAATGATTCTAATCCAGGTGGGAAAGACAGTACTCCAGTGCGAATGACTCGAATCCAATGGGAGCGACTTTATTCTAGTGGGGCTGCATTCTAACCCAATGACTACCCCAAGGCAACAGCAAATATCCAGTCGCACTGGGAGGAAAGAGATGGACTCCAGACAAAGGGGAAAGGGCTTCAAGGGGTCTGCATCCTATGGAACCAACCCCCTGAGTAGACAGCGGAGGGTCGTGGCTGACAGTCAGTGGTACCCATTGTGCCCCTTGGTTAGGAGTGGGAGAGGAATGTGAGGGGAGGCATTGCGCCCCCTGGCAGTTGGGACCCTCTCACCTCACGCAGTCCATCTTTCCTTCGGCCACCAGGTGGCCTGGCACCTCAGGGAGTCCTTGATGCTGACCCTGGACAACACGCAGGAGTGTCTGAGCGAGGAGACGGTGAAGATGAGGACGAGGGCTGGCGTCCTGGTAGAGGAGACGTGGGCGCTCATTTCGTGCCAAGCCGCTGCCTTCCTGAACACGGGGCCAGGCCGGGGGATGGCAGCCAGAGGAGATGGCTGGTTACAGTGGCTGAGGGAGACGGCAGATGACTGCAGTAAGTGGCTGCCCCAACCCTTCTGAATGCATTTATGTAGCAGCACGCCCCCTCCACACTGTCAGGAAAGATACCAAGGAATTTTACGGGAGATTCAGCCAGCCACGGTCTGGCTCAAGCCGGGCATAGAGGGCTGAGCGACAGCTTACCCCAATAACAAGACAGCGAGAGGACTGCGGTCAGAATGGCCTCTCGCGTATATTTATGCTACCGATTTGTAATCCACTACACCCCCTCCCTATCTCTGTCACCTCCTCCAGCCCCCTACACACCCTCCTTATCTCTGTCACCTCCTCCAGCCCCTACACCCCCTCCCTATCTCTGTCACCCCCTCCAGCCCCCTACACCCCCTCCCTATCTCTTTC